ACGGCCCCGGCGCGGCGGGCGGGCGCGGGCGCTGACGGGGGGCGCGTGACGGCCGACGAGGCCAGGGCGGGGACGGGGGGACCGGTCAGCATACCCTGCCCTATTCTCGAAAAGGTCAGAGCGAAAGGAAGGGAGGCCCAGGGGAGGCGGATGCGGGCGAGACGGCTCGCGTAGACCTCGCCATTGTCGACTGGGGTCACTTCGCCAACAGCTGGTATGAGAAAGCTAGAGTCCTGGACTCCACGTGGGGCGCGCTCGGGGGAGGGACTGCACATCGCGGCCCCCCAACCCCGGCCAGTCCCCTCCCTGTGGAGGGTGGGTGTGAGCCGGCAGCCAGCTCTGGGTGGCATGTGGGTGGGTGGTCTGTGCGGTGCATCTGCAGAGTGTGAGACCTTGGGACTGTGTGAGGGAGGATCCATGTTCTGTGAATAATAATGGCAGCAATTTGCACCCTCACTTGTCGCTCAATGCTAGTTCCACACTTCTCTTACTTTGGGGTTTCCATATTAGTCCATTTAACGGAGGAAGAAACTGAGACCTAGATGGCCAGGCACCTGGTTCAGGGTCACTGCAGCTGTTTCAGACTGTTTGACTCCTGGACAAAAGTGAAGCGACTAGCTGGTGGCCTCCACTCAGCCTAGAATGAGGGGGGCCCATTTATCCTTTCATGGATTGGTCTGCCCACCCACATCGCCCCCATTCCAGCATCTGGAAGTATATTGAGAAAATAATTTAGGAATAGCTAGTGAGATCTGCTTGTCTTTCTCTGAGCAAGACACAGTGGCCAAGCTGGAGAGACACCCCTCCCCGCCTAGGACCCATCAGAACTCCATCTGCCAGACTCTGGACCTCTGCTTGATGTACCTAGCAGAGTGACCCAGTCTTCCTCTCTCTGACCCGGGCCCTGCACACAGGTCTGCGCCCACAAGCACCTCCTGTGAGCAGAGTGCTGAGAAGGGAGGGTGAGCCAAGGGAGAACCAGAGCAGCCAGACAAGCAGCTTAAGACGCCCTCAGCAGCCAAAGCCCCATGGACTCCAAGGCTGACATGGGGCAAGGACAGTGCCCACAGGCCTGTTACTTAGACGACCTGCAATTGGGGTCCCAGCACCCCACCTTTGGAGTTGGGGCTCTGCATTGCACATTCCAAGTTAGGAATGTGGGTTGGGGCACTGTGACATTTCCCTCACTAAATATCAGAAGCCTGGACACCTGCAGGTGGATACCCCAGATGTGGCATGTTGCCCAGGTAGACTGTTCCCCTATAGCAGTTCTCACTGCCTCTGTCCCCCAGCCCTCAGCAGCATGTCCTGCCTTGCTCTTGGGTGTGACACGTGGTCAGAGGCCAGGTGGTATGTTGGGGGCTGTGAAGTGGGGGAAGGCTAGAGGACAAATGAGTGTGTGGTTCCTGTGTCCACAGTCTGACCACAACCTTGACCCTGTTGCCAAGAAGCAGCCCTCTGCCGGTGCTCCCCTGTCCATGGGCACCAGCAGAAGCAGCCCCTTGCCTCGTGCTCACCTGGTCATGGGCACCAGTAGAAGCAGCCACCTGCCTCCTCCCTTGAGAGGGCGAGCTGGTGTCCCTCACTGCCCAGTGGGTCAGGCTTGTGGTCTGTGGGAAGTGGGGGCCTCACCCCTTCTGTGCAAAACCATCCCCTACTTCCACCCTTCCATTCAGCAGGGTACAGCCTGACTCTAGCTTCAAGGGAGGGGCCCGTCTAGCTAGGGGCAGACAGGAAAGAAGGGGTTGAATCTAGCTCCCCTAGTCCAGCTCTACCCCTCTTAGAGGACAGGGTCCCTTCCTTAAATGTCCCCATCTGGTCACAGGGCTTTCTGTAGGACCTCTCCTAACAAGGCTACCCCTCACCCGTAGGAGACCACTCCAGGGGCTGTGCAGGTCAGTGGGGGCTGTTATAGCTCCTCTGCCAATGAGGCTCAGACCCCTTTCCGGGGGCTTCCCCGCCTGTGTCCTAGCCTAGGGCACCTGCCTCTGCACCTTCCCGCCTTCTAGAAGCAGAGACCAAAGGGAAAGAGTTTGGGGAACCAGAATTGCCCTCACCACAAGCAGGTATTCTGGTCAAGACCCTGGCGGGACCCTGGCCGCAGCTTGTCACTTCATTCTGGCTGAAGCTTCACCTTCCTGGTCTGGGCACCAGCCTGTCGTTGTCGCTGCTCGTGATCCCCCACTTGGGGCCCCTCCACCGCTGGCCGAGGAGGCTGGAGCCACTGCTGCCGCCAGGGGAGGGAGGTGGAGGGAGGAGGGGTCATAAATAACCCGCAGGCTGCAGCCCCAGGCAGGGCAGACGGGTGACCTGAGACTTGGTGGGGGCATGGAGGCGTCCCTGCTGGCCCCAGGGCCCCCAATCCAGGCTCTGCCAGCCTTGACCACTATTCCTTATCACTGCCCCCACTCTTTATCAGGGAGTTCCTGTCCTCCCTCTCTGCAGAATGCTCCTCCAGTCCCCTCTTCATTCATCAATCGATCAATCATTTATTGAGCACCAGATGTGATCTAACCTCAGGAAGAGTCTGAGGTTTGGAGGTGAGATTGGAAGATCAGAGGCAGACACAGGGTCCCTGAGGCAGAAGGTGTGGAGTTAGGGGTACAGGTGAACAGAGTGGACCTGGTTACTGGCACCAGTTGGCTGAATGCAGAGTCTCTCTCCTAGAGCAAACTCAAAACTGCACACACAGGGGTGCAGGGGTGAGGGCATTGGGGCCCAACTTCACTAGAAGTGGCACACACATCCACATGGCAAACCCACATGTACGCATTCACAGATGACTTGTGCACACATGAATGCACACCCA